GGCTGGGCGCACCCTTAGAGATAGGGTGAGGAGCTCGGTCACCCGGGAGGAGCTCAGAGTAGAACCGCTGCTCCTCCACACCGAGAGGAGCCAGCTGAGGTGGCTCGGGCATTTGTTTCGGATGCCTCCCGGGTGCCTTCCTAGGGAGGTGTTCCGGGCACGTCCCACTAGGAGGAGGCCCCGGGAAGACCTAGGACATGCTGGAGGGACTATGTCTCTCGGCTGGCCTTGGGACGCCTCGGCATTCCCCTGGAGGAGCTGGAGGAAGTGTCTGGAGAGAGGGAAATCTGGGCATCTTTGCTTAGACTGCTGCCCCCGCGACCCGGTCCCGGATAAGTGGAGGAAAATGGATGGATGGATGTTAGATCCCATCTTTTTCTGTTCATGGTTCATCTTCATTTGACACGTATCCACCTCCGATCTGAACATCGTTGCATGCCTAAACTGCCTCATATGCGCAAATTTAACTGAATGTGAACTGCCTGCGTAGACTAATAACAACAATGACATCATTTGTGTGAAGGTCAAACGGCACAATTTCCTCACAAACAGCTCAGTTATGACATGTTCCCTCCGCCTTGGCCTAATCAGAAGCTTCTTCATATATGTCCAACAAATGTAAAACGTCCTCGTATCATCGCTGACCCCCAGTCACTGATGCTGCTCTGTGAAAGGCTGATACTGAATAATGGACAGCCGATATGCGCATGTGTAGAGGAGTGAGGCGCTGAAAAGACACTTGTGAATTTCACACTGAAGTCTCATGATTATACTGTATTTTGTTTTAGTAATGTGACTCTGAAAAGTAATTAAAGTTATTAAATAAATGCAGTGAGTACAAAGTACAATACTTTTCTTTTTGACTTCACGACATTAAAGTGTGAAGTATGAAGCAGCACAAAATGAAAACAATCAAGTACAGATACCCTAAAATTGTACTTAAGTTCAGTACTTGAGTAGATGTACTTAGTTATAGTACCGTAAAATCCGGACTATTGAGCACACCTGACTATAAGCCGCGCCCACTAAATTTAAGAAGAAAAAAAAAATTGTACATATACAGGCCGCACTTGTCTATAAGCCGCATGTGTCCACGTTGTAACATGAGATATTAACACAGAAAGATGTTGCACAGCTTTTGTCGTCTTTTTGTATTGAGTCAGTTCTTCACACTGCCTTCTCCAACGTCTCACCATCCATCCATTGATGCCAAGCTTACATGCAGCAGCTATTTCCTTCTTCGACAGCCAGATCGACCTCCTTTCACTTGAAAGCTGCATCATATGCATTTCTTTGTGCGTTTTCCATGATGAGGGTGTGTGCATGAAGTGCAAAATGACCGATCTGAAGAATTTAGTGTGAGTGCATTTGATTTAATTCGAACGGTTTCATTGGTCCACTGTGACCTGTTCGGTAAGTTCGGTCTGATGTGACGAGGCTAAATGTATTGGCGGCATGAAGCTCGTTAGCCCGTAAAAATCCATAAATTAGCCGCATCGTTGTTTAAGCCGCCGGGTTTAAAGCTTGTGATAAAACTAGAGGCTTATAGTCCAGATTTTACGGTACTTTCCAGGTCTGGTTCACACATCTATGGAAAGACTTGAGTCACTTGGGGGAGAAAAAACTAGATTTCAGTTACTTCAGCATGTAGTGTGAATGTGGCAAAGGAGAAGAGCAAGAAAGATCAAACACTGACTCCAGGGGTCTGCCTACATTATGTCATTTCAAATTATGCTTGCTTGTCATATCTTTCTCTTTAAGAATCTGTTTATGGATTCCAAAATCATAGCAAAACACATCATACATCCTTCTGTCTTGTAAACACAATAGATTTGTTTGTGTAGTTCAACTGGAATACTTATTGTATTTTCAAACAAAAAAGAAAAAAACATTTAAATCTGCGGTTTTCAACAGACAGGATTATTTTACTCATTGAACAGCCTCAAATTTAGGATTAATATTATGAAATAGTGTTCCTAAAATATCTGAGGTACTGCATTTCTGGATGTGATGATCTAATTACAGTGGATAATGCCATAGAATAAAAAATGTTGTTAATGTCAGACTTCAGATACTCCAATATAAAGCCTACTGTTTCCATGTGCTACAACTCATTTACTTCTTTTACCTATGACCATATGTCAGCTTACCTAATAAAGGCTTGTAGAGGTTTGTGAGCTTGGTGAAGGAGGGGAATAGGTGGGGAAGGTAGTACTTCTTGAACAAGCTGAAAAGAAACCTGAAGCCTGTGTCCTGGTTCTCTTTGTTCCTCCATTCTAAACTGGATGCCTGGTAGACAGACAGCACAAAGACAGATAGGGTCAGGCTACAGGGAGAGGAGATGGTTCCAGCGTCACTCAGACACTGACAGCATATTGTTTGCACCACAATAGTTTGAAGGTTCCTCTAAGTAACAGTACACAGGGGCAAAATGGTTTGGGGGAGGTACACGTACAAACCCCATTTCCAATGAAGATGGGACATTGTGTAAAATGTAAATAAAAACAGAATACATTGACTTGCAAATCCTTTTTGACACATATTTAATTGAATACACTACAAAGACAAGATATGTAATGCTCAAAATGATAAATTTTGTTTTTTGCAAATATTCACTCATTTTAAATTTGACGCCTGCAACACATTCCAAAAGAGCTGCGACAGGGTCAACAAAAGACTGGGAAAGTTGAGGATTGCTCAAAAAACACCTGTTTGGAACATTCCACAGGTGAACAAGTTTATTGGAAACAGGTGGGCGTGATGATTGGGTATAAAAGGAGCATCCCATAAGGCTCAGACATTCACAAGCAAGGATGGGGCGCGGTTCACCACTTTGTGAACAACTGCATGAGCAAACAGTCCAACAGTTTAAGAACAACGTTTCTCAATGTACAATTGCAAGGAATTTAGGTATTTCATCATCTACAGTCCATAATATCATCAAAAGATTCGGAGAATCTGGAGAAATCTCTGCACGTAAGCAGTAAGGCCATAAACCTACACTGAAGGCCCGTAACCTTCGATCCCTCAGGTGGCACTGCATTAAAAACAGATATTATTCTGTAAAGGATATTATCACGTGGGCTCAGGAACACTTCGGAAAACCATTGTCAGTTAACACAGTTTGTCGCAACATCTACAAGTGCAAGTTAAAACTCTATTATGCAAGGTGAAAGCCATACATCAACAACATCCAGAAACACCGTCGGCTTCTCTGGGCCCGAGCTCATCTGAGATGGACTGATGCAAAGTGGCAAAGTGTGCTGTGGTCTGACGAGTCCACATTTCAAATTGTTTTTGGAAATCATGTCCTCTGGGCTAAAGAGGAAAAAGACCATCCAGATTGTTATCAGTGCAAAGTTCAAAAGCCAGGATCTGTGATGGTATGGGGGTGTGTTAGTGCCCGTGGTGTGGGTAACTTGCACATCTGTGAAGGCACCATTAATGCTGAAAAGTACATACAGGGACGTCCCTGCTTATTTCAACAAGACAATGTCAAGCCACATTCCGCACGTGTTACAACAGCATGGCCTCGTAGTAAAAGAGTGCGGGTACTACCTGTCTGCAGTCCAGACCTGTCTCCCATTGAAAATGTGTGGCGCATTATGAAGCGCAAAATACGACAACGCAGACCCCGGACTGTTAAACAACTGAAGTTGTACATCAAGCAAGACTGGGAAAGAATTCCACCTACAAAACTTCAACAATTAGTGTCCTCAGTTCCCAAATGCTTATTAAGTGTTGCTAAAAGGAAAGGTGATGTAACACAGTGGTAAAAAATACCCCTGTCCCAACATGTTGCAAACATCAAATTCAAAATTAGTGAATATTTGCAAAAAACAATAAAGGCTATCAGTTTGAACATTAAATAGCCTGTCTTTGTGGTGTATTCAATTAAATGTGGGTCAAAAAGGATTTGCAAGTCAATGTATTCTGTTTTTATTTACATTTTACCCAATGTCCCAGCTCCATTGGAACTGGGGTTTGTAAGATTAACATCCTCCAACTTTAAACACTTCACACTTGATTAAGAATAAAAAGTAATTACAACACAAATGGAGAAAACACTCAGCATCATGTAGGCCCAATGTGCATCACACCTGACAACATAACTGCAGACCAGTTCAAATCATGAACAATAGACATTTGTCTCTCCATCTCACTTACAACCTGGGACTACACTATAAGAGAGGCAACGGTGACCACCGCATGCTAACCAAATGCCAAATTTGAAATTCAGTTGTAATAAGCACAATACAGTTGCTGTGTAATCTGGCACATAGTTGTACAGTCTTTTGTCAGCATAATTAAGTTATTACCTGGATGACAATGTACTTCAGCAGTGTTTCGAGGATATGACAGGTCTGGTCATCTGCAACTTTTTCTCCTGCTACAGCTGGAACCAGCGGTGTAATCTCCTCAGGCACCACTTTTGCTGCTCAGTTTGACAGATCAAAAGGAAAATATAATTTTACCACTAAAAAAGAACCTACAAATCTGATATTAAGCATGTTTTATATGACTTTAATGGCCATCTTTAATCATATAATGCTGTACAAATCTCACAAAATCTATGTCATTATAAATGTGCATATGTAGAAGCATGCATATTCCTGTCTGTCTGCCCCTCCTCACCATCAGGAGGGTTGGAGAAGGGGTTGTAAATGATGGTGTCCAGGGTGCAGGGGCCTCTGCTGGAGGGCACAGCAGGGAATCCTGGTACCAGACAGGCAAAGATAAGGAACTGCTCCTCAGCACAGTTGTCCCTCAGGGCCTGAAGCCACAGCAGGAAGAGACGGATCCCCTCACAGCGGATCTAGACAGCAGGAGACTGGATCATATTAGTGGATACACAAAAGAAGCTTGTTTCATCCTTCTTTAAAGCTAAATGTGACTCTTCTGTGTGCAACATTCACATTTGTGTTATGGTGCCCTGATGCGGCAATGAAAACAGCACTTACCTTGAATGAATTTCCAGTGTGTAGAAGCTTTTTTAGAATAGAACCTGGAAAAAAGAAAAAAGTGCAACTGACAAATACTCACACAATCCAATTATTAAACAGATGTCTCTTGCACAACAAGCACACACCACAAACAGTACAAAGCTGACGGGGAGGGAACCTGCTTGTCTTCTCCACTGAGGAAAATTGACCTTGATGGGTGGCCCTGACAAACTAGTGGGGAGAGTGGCAAGGCTTCACATTTTCCTGATGTTAATTAACATCAGTTGGCAGAAACGTGCATACATAAAGGCAGTCTGGCTCCTCTGTAATCAAATGAAGCATTGCTCTGATTGCTAAATACCTTGAGCAGAAGAGGTCTGTGTATGTGAGTGAGGCATACACTTGGCAGTCTGCAGACAGCACTGCTATTATGTGGCCATTGGGGGCTGTGAAGAAATTTGACTGCTGTCTTTTTTAATTAAAGCACATTTGTATACGAGTGTGTTTAGTGCTTTTATTGTTCTTTCATTAAGTTAAAAAACATTATTTCTAATGTATTAAAAAAAGGAGAAAGCAAACAAAATGATAAAGAGTGTGAGGATTTTCTTCAGCTTTAACAGTCTGTGTCACCTTGTAGTCCTTGGCTAAAAAGAGCAAAACCACTAAAAGTCATTCCTGACCTACCTTACACATCACAGGAATTTGTCAGAGGAACCTGAGACATTTTCAGCAATGTTGCTGATAATTTGTTTAAAGAAACATGATGTGAAAAAAAATGTTATTCTAGGAATTCAATTAAAACTCTGGTACAGCGAAAGGCTAACAAGCCACCGACACACATTCTTCAAAGCAGAAGTATGCAAGTGACAGCTCAGCATCTCGGCTGCGGACACATGAACCGATGAGTTGAAAAGATAATTCTATGTGCGCTCAGGGAAAGGCCAAAAAGCAGTTTTAAACCTGTGATGATTTGCTGTCCAGTGACTGAACAAAAAGTAAACTTGTCCAGGGCATCCAACCCCAGATGAGACTTGATATTTGGAATTGCAAGTCTGAAGGGAAGGACAGTCTACAACAGTGATCTAGACCCAGTCTGTTTAGCTGCCAGCAGCTGACAAACACTTAGAATTGGGGTTATCATTTCTTGCAATGGTTCTTTTTTTGGGTGAGACTGAAATCATATCTGCATAATTCAATTACCTATTTGCATTTTAAATGAAGTGCTCATTTGCATTTCACATTACACCCCCATCTAAGACTAATTCTCTTCATTATGGAAGATTCTAGGAACGGTTTGGGTGACAGTTTTAGTCCTCTGGGTTTCTTAGAGGTCACAGAAGCAGG